GTGCACCACTTCTACCAAAGTGACTCCTAGGCCTACTGTATATGAATGAACGTGTAGAGAAAATGTTGCTCATTCAAAGAAGCTAGCCAACCAGGATCTGTTTTACCGTACCCTTCGATTATTGGTAATTGCACCATAGATCCATGCGCTTGAACCCTTGCGTCATTCGAGTCTGACCTCCTTTAACCACGCCCAGCCGCCCAGCCGACCATCAGGTACTCAGGTCAATGAACCTTGTTGGGACCAAAAGCCCAAAAGCTGTCAAAGTCCATGAAAGTCCCTAGAGATTGCAGGAAGAAGGCCTTGGATTTTTTGTGTTTTCTTCCTCCCTTGCGTCGTACTCGGTGTCGTTGGTTGCTACTCGCCTTCGCCAGGAGCGCAAGCGCGCGGAAGGACCCTTCTGAGGCTCCCAAAAAATAGAGAGCCAAAGCAGCTGAAAGGAGACAGGACTCACGAAACTCAGGAATGCAACCATCAATCTCAGCAGTCTTATGTGGTTCGTGTTGTTTGAATTTCGCATCAACACACAATGTTGAGATTACCGAACAACGTAACAGCTGGAGTGGATGGCAGGATAAAGTACCAAGACCTTGCCTTAGAACTGAACAAACTCATGAGTGGTAGTGGTTTCCCTGCTGTAATCAGTGTTCATCCAATTAGATCTGGGGGCTGCCATCCAAACTCCGGACTATTGCAGCATGATGTTCCAAAGGAATATCTCCCCACCGAGTCTTTGTCTCTTGATTTCTTGATTTCTGGGTCTTTTACAACCCATCCTGGAGTGGACATTTGCAACTTTGCTTCAGTAAACTCTACCGAGATGGCAACACTAGATGGCTGGTAGATAGGTCCACTGGTATGGTTTACCGAAGCTACAGTAGGTCAACCACTCACCGTCGGTCAACGACTCATCCTCCTCAGGTTTGAGCACGCTATGCCGGTGCAAGTGCGAGAGCTGCCTCCTGTGTCGATATGACTCAAAAGAACCATGCTTTTTTTCCCCATGACTACATGATCCATGACTTCTTTCTGACATATAGTACCATAATGTATATACTCAATAATATATATATATATGTATATTATCTTTTGGTGACTGACTTCACTGACACCTCGCTTTCTTTCTTTCGGTCCGCCGGTCTGGTCGTTTCGGGCACACCTCCGTGGTCGCGAGGTCGGTGAGTCACCCGAAATGGATCCTTGGTCGCGATGACGGGGTGCGGAGCGACAAATAAAGGTCCATGTCAGTGGCTCAAAAGGGTTTGCATGTGAAATTCCACTTGTTGAAGAACAGGATGTTGTGTGCAGTATGCCTTTGGTCTTGGAATCAAACAGAATAATGCATAATAAAGCAAGATCCCTTTGAGAAAATACGCACGGGAGGGGTACAAGGTATCGTCTCTAAATGTGCCGAACTTTACCAGAACAGCACTAGCTTTCAATATCTGCACAGTGAGTTGCCCACGATCGTGCAGCAAAAGGAGTTGCCCAAACAATACCGTTTGATGTCAAACAGCCAGCCAAACGGTATTGCTTGATGTGAAACGTGATTGATTAACCAAATCACATGCAATGTTAGTCCTTGCTGGGTTGATTCCACCTTCACTCCATGATGCCAGGCGTGCCAGGCATGCCAACTGCTTTGTCTGCACTGCCCATTCCCAGCCTCGAGTCGGGGACGAGGCTTCCGACCTCAATGGGGGCAAGTGCTACCGTCAAGTGCGAACGGGTGAGCGGCTGAAACACAGCCGCCTACGAAGTTGTGTCATGTTTATCCCAAACCGAAGTTCTGTCATGACAGAAACCGGTTCTTCAATTTCTTCCAAACACCGAAGAGTGAATGACCGGTCCTTTGTGACGAGAGGCAATGGATCTGGTTCATCATCGAGAGGTGCATCTGCAGGTTTAAATGCTGACCTTGGATTTGGGCCCCGGGCTTCATCCAAAGCCAGCCTCTGAAAGGGCCTTTGAAAGACTCGAACTACTTTCTGAAAGATATTTAATACTATTGTACTGAGGCGCCTGCTGTCCGAAGCAAATAGGAAAGAGCTTTCACAGGGTTTCCGGACTGACCACATTCCAAACTCCAACATCATTGGCAAAAATGCTGTTCCTGGTCCACTCTCCTCAATAGGCTCATCAATTCCCCCTTTGAAAGAGTCGGAACTGGGGTTCTATCATGTTCTACCTTGAGACGCAGAACCCCCCAAAGCCTAAGTCCCTGACCTGGCAGTCTCACTCGCCTGCAGGGTCTACCCAGTTCAGAAAACATTGGACGAGCCTGCAGCATGGAATGTACTCAATAAGGCGGGGGCCTAAACCCAAAGACCTTCCCTTTGTTTGTTCTTCTCATTTGTCCAACCTTTTGTTAGCGGGAACACCGTTCGACTCGTCTTCACCGCTGCCTCGGGCACCCCGGGTTTGGGCGCAGCAGCGCCTTTGGAGCCTTTCCTTAGGAAATGTGTGGCAGGCGATCATCTCTGTTTGTTTACAGAAGCCATACAGTTCAATCCATATGAACATGTATGAACAGGATGTTCACAGGAGGAGGGAAGCAAAGATGTCTTCCAGTCGATGTTCATGCAGGTTTGTATGCGTTCTTGCAGTATATTGTTTGGATTCAGGTCCTGCCCCAAAAAAACATATTCCAGACGAAGTTTAGAGAGGTTTGCGTGTTTTTTTGGGGCAAAAACATGCAAACACTATGCAGCCAAGTCCTGTTCCCAAGATGTTCTCAAGAGGATGCTCAAGCAGGTTTATGTGCCACCGTTTGGCAGTGAACATGTATGCATTCAGGTCCTGCCCCCCAAAAATGTTTTCAAGGTGATGCTCGAGCAGTTTTACCGTAAAATGCGTGGGTTCAGATCCTGCCCCACAAATGTCTCCAAGACAATGTTTAAGCAGGTTTGCGCGCGTTTTTCCAGCAACATGTTTCGACCCAGGCCCTGCCCGAAGATGTGCTCTAGCCCATGTTCATGCGGTTTGCGCACTCCCTTCGCGGACCACTTGAAATCGGAATATGTCCTCAGTTTTAACCTTGCCCGTCCTTTCGTGCGAGAGTGCCACATTTGACATCGCAATATTCCCGCAGTTTTTGACACTTGACCCTCATTTCGTTGCATTTTGTGGGACCCCGGCCTACGAAAGAAAGAAAGAAAGGCCTAGGAAAGAAATAGCGAAAATAAAGAAACACATCGATATAAAGAAATGAAGAAAGAAAGCAAGGTAGGTAGATAGATAGATTGATTGATAAATAATATAGATAAATAATGATGGATATGTCAGAAGGTAGAATGCTAGGACACAACCAAAGGAATAAATGCCAGAAAGGATGTCGGCAAATGGACAATCTTCCGGCTCTCACCGAACTGAGGATCCACACGCCTTGCCTTTAGCTGGCCCTTTGCCACCTAAAGTGATGGGGTCGGCCATGAACACTCTCTGTGGACAGAATTATGAACCGTTTCGGAGCTTCAGGCTGAAATCAAATGTGGTGACAGGACTGCTCACATATCCACCTTTGAGCTTGTAGCCTACAAAGAGCTCCATCCAACCACAAACTAAAACGATTCTGAAACGAGCTAGCATGTATATATATATATATTCCACAAGTCAAACACCCTCCACATGATTCCCTGCAAAGTCAAGCGGAAAACGATCCTGCGGGTGTCACGCCTGGTGCAACTGCTGGCGCTCCTTCCACAGGGGCTGCAGCTTCAGCGCCGGTTGCCGCAGGTGCAGTTTCACTGGCCTATGCAGGGACCCAGGATTGCAAACATAGGGAATCTGAAGGTCTTCAACAGCGGTGAAGAATGTCAGGCAACGCTGATTACCGGCCTGTGGTGTAGCTGGTTGCTCAGCAGTTGGCCTCCGGAAGAGCACATCTAACACGATGGCAGAAGCAGGTAGCTGATGTTTCGTTTTCTGAATGAGCTTGAAGGCCTCCCTCTGAACCTTCCATCATTTTGACCATGTCACTGTTGACCATTCTTTACCTCAAAAGAATCTCAAACCAGCTCTGAGTCTGCTGCTCAGGCTCTGCTGCTGCAGCTACCGGAGCCGGCGGTCCTTTTGCGGGGCCCTTTGGGCCTTTCCTTGCAGTGGCCGATTGCTTACCAAACGATCTTTGTCTCATCCAAACAACTCGCAACATGTGTTGTCTGTTTACATAAATCCGATGTGTAGCTTGTGCAGGTTTCATCAGGTTTCTGCGGTGTCAATGATTTCCCCCAAAGAGAATGATTCTAAGATCAACACTTGCCACCTTTCCCTGGAGTAGCTGCCGGTGCTGGGGTAGCCTGCACGACCATGGTTGCAGCCCTCACAAGCAAAGCATCAACTTTTTGTGTGCTCAAAGCATGGCAACTCGAGGCTTTGGACCTTCTGAGATTTCAACGCATGCCAAGCTCTTGTGCTATCAATTTAATGTCTGTGTGTTGTCAAAAGCAGCTCTCGCAAAAAAAAGGTGCTGTACGAGTAGAAGACAAATTCACTGTGAGACCTTCTGGAACACTAGCAGGAAACGTCAGCAAACACACTTGAAAGAGCCCAATTCTACAAAGTCGTTCTTAAGCCTCTGATTGATCTGCGGGCGGTGAAGAAGCTTGCCTGAAGCTGTCTCGCACAAGCTCATTCTACAGTAGAGCAACTATTGTCAACATGTGTCCCAAAAGTCTTAATGTATTCTGCTTCCTGCCGTCAGAGCAATACAAGGAAGCAACTTTGCAGCAAACTTGGTGAGCTGCTCTGCACTTTCTTCTGCTGGTGCTTGAGCTGCAACAGGTGCAGGTCCTTTTGCTGGGCCT